GCCAGCCTAATAGATGAAGAAGGGGTTCGAGGCTGGTTAGCAGAATTTTTCTGCTTACCCCTAAAGTCTTTGCCTAGGAGGCTTTCTACAAGACAGTAGCTGGATGCAGTTAACATCTGCCCAAGATGAGTATTTTTATCGAGACACCATCTCTAGCCTTTACTCAACCAAGAGCTCCAAGGCAGGGGACTTTTTAGTCAGAGTTTATTTCTCCTAGCATTTGCCTTAGAAGAGCTCACTCTGCAAGGCAGCAGAGCTTGTGGCAGGTGGTACTGGGTTACGTGATACCAGTAGCAAGATTGATCTTGATTATCCTGACCTGACCTGGAGTAGTTAAAAGGAGTTCCTTCCCGCAACAGTATTTTGAGAAAACCAAGCATGACATTTTGGAAGTGCATTAGGAAAAACACTGCATCTAACAAAATGCAGGAGTCTAAGGTGAGTGTAGGTTTTGTAGTTGGAGTAAGTAGTTAGTTACTGAGCTCACGCTGAATTAGAGTATAAACATAACACAAACAAAAATAAATCAACTTACGGGTGAGTCAACACCGCGCCAAAGGTTCAGACAGAACACAAACATACATAATAAAACATAAAAAACATAAACATAAACATAAAGTAACTTACTGGTGAGCGAACACCGCGCCAGAGGTTCAGACAGAACACAGACATACATAAAGAACATAAAATAACTTACGGGTGAGCGAACACCGCGCCAGAGGTTCAGACAGAACACAAACATACATATGAAGTAGATTACAGGTGAGCAATACAGTAACTAAGGCACCTCCAACTACATGAAAAAAAAAAAAAAATTACTATAGGCATGACTGATATAACATAGTACTGATGACAGGAAGAACACTCCTTCCAGCCTTTGCTTAGAAAGCAAATACTGCAAGGCAGCAGAACATGGAACAGGTTGCACTGGGTTACATGTTACCAGTAGCAGGATGATCATGAAGACCATACTCCTGACCTGACTACTATCATTGTTAAATAGTACAAAACTGACTAAATCATTGTTAAATAGACTAATCATTGTTTTCCTGACCTGACTAAATCATTGTTAAATAGTACAAATTGTTTACGGTTAGATTTTTAGAACTTTTAAACCATTTTAAAATTGTATTTTTTATTCCGTAGTGTTTAAGTTTATAAATTAAAATATGGTGATCGACCGTATCAAAAGTTTTTGATAGGTTAATAAAAATTCCATAAATTTTGTGATTTTTTGAATGATTTTGAGATTTCATGTTTAGTTGAGTTATCTTTCTTGAAATCAAATTGATTGATATAAAGTAGATTATTATAATAAAAATGTTTGTATATTCTGTTAAACATAGTTTTTTCTAAAATATTCGAAAATGTGGAGAGAACAGAGATAGGGCGATAATCACTGATTTCAGATTCGTCCTCTTCTTAAAAAATAGGAATAGTTTTTGCAATTATTCTGGGAATACTCCTTGATGGATAGAAGCCCTAAAAAGAACAACTTTAAGTTGTTCAAAGCAATCTAAAATCATGTTTTCATTCATTTGATCTAATCCAATTGCTTTATTTTTTTTTAAACAGATTTAAAAGCTTTCAAACTCATCAAACATTAATTCGGAAGATAACTTATCTGAACAAATGCAATTATCCAGGGGTTCTAGATAATCAGTAAACAAAAATTAGGTCTTAAGGATTTTTTCAGACAGTGTTGATTGAAACATTTCACCTATATGAGTGAAATGTTTGTTAAATTCTTGAGCTATAGTTTTTGGTTCAAAATAAGCTTTTGTTATCGACTCTAACCATTTATGGCAGAAAACCGGAGCATGATTTTTTTTTTTTGCCAATAATTTCTTTTATTATTTGCCACGTGCGCTTTGTGTCGTTTTTAAATGTATTGAATAATTCGAAGTAATAATTTTTCTCTTAGTTTTTGCGAATCTTTTCAAATAGGTTTTTAAAGTTTTTATTGATTTTTTCGCTTGAAGCTGTTTTTGTTTTTAAAAAAATTATGTATAACTTTTGTTTTGTTCTGGATGATTTTTGAAAAACTTTAGTAATCCAGGGTGTATTGATATTCTTAGTTGTTATTGTTTTTTCCATGATTGGGAAATTTTCTCCATAAACAGAAAAAAATTGACTCCATAACAGAAAAAAATTGACTCCATAACCAGAAAAAAATTGACTCCATAAACAGAAAAAAATTGACTCCATAAACAGAAAAAAATGTTTTGAAAAAAGTAATAACGCAAATAAATATTATTTGCGTCATCATCAAAATTTATGTTTTTCCAATGCAGTAACCCAGTAAGCACAAATCGTTTTTAAAACGTTTAGAAAACGTTAAAAACCGTTTTAATAGGTTTTTTAAACGTTTTAAAAACGTTCTTTGCTTACTAGAAATGATATTTGTTCTTTAAATAATTTAATACTAGCCTCATTATAAGTGCGTTTTCTTATTATTTTTTTATATTAATGTTTCTTCCTGGGTTTGTTTTATTAAGTTTTAAGAATAGAGGAAAATGATCCGATATATCACTTTTTATGACACCTATTTAAATATTATTATTAAAAATATCAGTAGTTATAATATTATCTAAAAGAGTTGCTGTGTTTATTGTTACTCTAGTGGGTCGATTTGTTAACGTAACTGACCCTGTTTCAAAAATTGCATCATAAAAATTCTTAATTTTTTGGTCGTCATTATAGAGAAAACAGTTCAAATTTAAGTCTCCGACTATATAGTTTGTTTTTTTTTTATCATTGGTTCCTTTTTTAATAATTTGTTGTAAGAACATGCTCAGGTTTTCGCTTATGTCGTCAGGTGGCCGATAACAACAGCTTAGTAAAATGTTTTAAGTTTAATTGTTTGTAATTTTAATAGATACAATTTCTTAATCGCAGTCAGAAACGCTTAAATCGTTCCTAAAACCATACTCAAAATTTTTGTGAACATAAATTAACACTACGTATTTGCGTTTTTTGAATTATTGATGTTTACAAACTGCGGAAATTGTTGTAAAACGTACCGTTTTGGTGACGTCAAATTGTTTGTTTGTACTTTTCTAAAAAAATTCTATTTTTAGAACACAGGCGGTACGCTATTGAATTGTTTAATCCAGTTAGGAATCAAAAGGAATCGTTGCTTCCTTAACCGCTAGCTCCCGCAGTTCCCTCTCTGTCCAAGCAAACTCCGTTTTCTCTTTCAGCTGCTCTTTCCATTCAACTACATGCTTTCTTTGTCTATGCACCTGAAGTCCTGAAAAGGTATCCGAAGAGAAATTACAACTCGCACAAGCGAACTGCTTTTTCTCCTCCACCGCTCCCGCAATACCGTTACAGTACCTCTAATGTGTTCCCACACTGAGTTGGACATCGCCCTCATACGGACACTTATTACACCTGTACCTAACTACACTCGGCAATAAAAGATTTATTATAATAAAAAAAATTTTATTATAATAAAAGATAATTAGCAATATACAGTATACTAGACATGCTTATAAGCATGTCTATAACCTTTAAACTTTTAGATTTGTATACTTTAAATTAAAGTATATAAATTTAAAAGTTTAAAGGTTATAGACAAATTTAATTAAACTTTACTTGCGTCATTAAAGTTTAATGACGCAAGTAAAATTTAATTAAATTTTTAACAATTATTTTATTAAGCTTTTTTGAAAGCCCTATTTAATAACAATGTTAGCAAATAAAATGTGGCTCAAAGTAACTATTTAGATTGCAAAATTTGTAATTTACTTTTGTTAATTTTGTTGAAAAGATATATTTTTTTAATTATAATTTTTTTCCACACAACTTCTTCCGATTTAAAATCTTTGTTATTATTTTTTATTTAAGTCTACTGATTGAGTTTTCTTCATGTGTTTTTTTTAATATATGTAGAAAAAATCATATACCGTATAAACTTATTCACGCAGACTTATATAATGACTTTAATAACTAGATTCGTTTTAAAGGTTTTTCGAGTTTTGAATGAATATAAAAAGTAAAAAGTTTCAAAAGTAAATTTGACTCATTTATTAATTGTCATGCAGCTCTTTAAATCAGTTTTAACGGTTTTTACTTTTACAAATTTCCCAAATGGACATTAGGGTGATCCTGCCGCCCATAATTTTTAAATTTTTGACAAAATTAACCTTTTTTTTGTTGTTGTTGAAGAGATTACTTCTTCCTAAGAACTGGGCAAAATTTGAGCATAACTGCACAATGTTTGTTGGTAACTGATTTGCATTAAATGTAATATAATTGTTGTCACAATTTTTTATAGGTAATATTTTATTTGCAATCTTTTACCTTTGTTTAATAAGGAACTAATAAGATTTAAATCGTTAGTAGGAGTTGCTGAAGATATGGATGCACCTAGCCACCATGGATGCACCTAGCCACCATGGAATAAAATAAAATACAACAAAGGTAACAATCATTTATAGCTTAGTAAGTTGTTGTCTAGCAAAAATTGTTTCTTGAGATAGCTGACTGGTTTTTTTGTTTAACAGTACAAGTTTTATAAAGTATAACAATTTTGACAGCCACTTTGCATTGTGCAAAGCGCTATCGTTTATTAAATCCAGATAAAATCATTTTGCCCATTACTTAGATACAACAATGTTGTTTGAATGATTTTCCTATAATCGCATCTAATGAAATTAGATTTTATCTCATTGTTTCTTGGCAAAAAAACGGTAATGAGATTTCTTTTTGTTTATTAAAGACTGTGAAATTTGAGGAATGTCAAGGTCATCAATAGTTTGAAAAATTAGAAGCTCAAAATTTTTTTTAAATCTAAAAACCAAACAATACAGTCATTATTTTATAGCTTATAATACTGATGTTAGTTTAATTTCATATATATTACATGATGACATAATATTTTACTAAATAACTTTTGTAACATTAAGATTTGAATGATTTTTTAACCATTCTTGAAAACTTTTGAAACTGCTTTAACAGTACAAGTTTTATAGAGAATAAAATTTTGACATTCACCTTCCATTGTGCAAAGCGCCTGGTTTATTAAATCCAGAAAAAAACACATTTTGCCCATTACTTAGATACAACAATGTTATTTGAACGAGTTTGCTTTAATCACCTCTGTTGAAACTTCAACTAATTGCTTTTTGCTAAAGATTTGCGATAAGCTCTTTTTTGTTTATCAAAGACTATGAAATTTGAGGGATGTCAAGATCTTCAGTAGTTTGAGGGATGTCAAGTTCTTCTTTTGGCAAATCAGATGCTTATAGATTTAAATCTAAAAACCAATGCAACATTATACATACATGCAATATTAAACACACATGCAAATTAAACATACATCAACATTAAACATACATGCAACATTAAACATACATGCAACATTAAACATTTTAATTCCAACAAGACTGCAAGCAACCACTAAATAATGTCGGAAGTTACTGGAAGAGAAAGGATGAAGATTGTAGAGCAAGATAACGATTGACAGACGACTTAAAATATTGCAAATTATATGAATCAGAAAAGCAAGATAAAGGAAGCGAATTCCAAAGAACTGATGTTTGAGGGAAAAAACTAGACGAGTAAGAGTTTTTAGAGCACTTAGGAACAGTAACAGAAAAAGCATGAGACTTAATTGAATGACGAGTAACACGAGAATGAGTTTTAGTAGATGGTACAAGAGACGCTAGCTCTTTAGAGCAGTGCCCATTATAGTATTTGTAGAAAAGAGAAAGAGAAGCAACATTACAACGATGTGACAGAGGTTGAAGGTTGGCTGCAAGAGCAGGTCCAACTATGTTATCAATGCGTTTTTGCACCTTGTCTAAAAGAGAAAAGGCATCATTAGAAGATCCACCCCAGATATAGCAACAGTATTCCATACAAGGCCGGATTTGAGATTTATAGAAATAGAGAATAGAACCCAGAGTAAGAAAGTGTCGAGCTCGATAAAGAGAAGCAACTTTAGCAGATGCTAATTTTGCAAGGGATTTGGTATAAAGTTTCCAAGAAAGATCAGAAGTAAGAGTTAATCCTAGAGGATGAAGGGTAGGAGACTCATCGAGTACATTACCGTTCATAAATATAGGAAGGTCTAAATTATTGCGATAACAGTTGGCTGAAAAAAATTGAGTTTTATCTGAATTAAAGTTCAACAGTTACTGTGAGCCCCATTCAGTAGCAGAAGTGAAATCCTTTTCAAGCTAGGAGTTGGAGGGAGTTGGCTTCTTATCGTGACAAGAATAAATGGTAGTATCATCAGCGAACAATGCCACCTTAGATGTGAAAATATCTGGAAGATTGTTAATGTAAATTAAAAAGAGTATAGGGCCAAGGATTGAACCTTGAGGAACCCCTGAGGTTAAAGAATAAGAAGAAGAGTACTGTCCATCAGGGACAACTTTTATACTACGATTGGAAAGGAAGAATTCAATAATCTTAAAGATGTTTCCAGATACACCGTAAGAAGAAAGCTTATGGAGAAGACCAGCATGCCAAACTTTATCAAACGCTTTAGAAATGTCAAGAGCGATGGCCTTAACCTCTCCACCTTTATCTAATGCGCGATAAAACCTATCGGTTATTACTGATAGCAAATCAGCTGTAGAACAAGAAGATCGAAATCCATATTGATAATCAGAAAGTAGGTTATGAGATTCGAGATGAGAGATTAGGTGTTTGTTAATTAAAGATTCAAAAACCTTGCTTATGATAATAAAAAGACTAATGGGACGGTAGTTAGACGAATCGGATCGCTCTCCAGAATTTTTAAAAATAGGGATAACAGATGCTGCTTTCCAGCAGGCTGGAAAACAAAACTCTGATAAGCACTTGTTAAATAGTTTTGAAAGGATAGACGACAGCTCCGGAGAACACTTCTGCAAGACTATAACGGGTATGTTGTCCGGGCCGCAAGCTGTTGAAGAGTCTAAGCAGGAAATCACTTTAGATACAGAAACTAGAGTGATACGGATGTCAAGCAATGTATCAACCTGTTTGACGGCTATATCAGGTAGAATGCAACTAGTGGAATCAAGAGATGATATTGACAAAAAGTTCCTAGCAAACAATTCAGCTTTGTCTTTAGGCGAGGTGACAAAGTCTGAACCATACAAAAGAGGTGGAATTACAGACTTGCGCTTATTATTGATACTATTAAAGATTCTCCAGAAGTCACGAGAGCCAAATTTTTTATGTAAAAAGCACATTTGTCAACAAGAAGACGAAAGATTTTTATCCAGGGGCTATCACGAAGAAAATCACGGAAAGAGTCCCAGTCAGCTTTAAGGTAGTTGTAAGATGAACGATGATAGGGGGATTCTGATGGTAAAGAAGAATGAGATAATAGTTTTAGAGAGATCAAACCATGATCGGAAGCACCTTGGTGAATGTGGAGAAACTGAGCACTGACTAGGATCAGAAACAAGGCATAAGTCGAGTAGAGAAGGTAAATGATTCGGGTTGTCTGGAAAGCGAGTTGGAAAGTTGACTATTTGAGTTAGGGATTGAGAAAGGCAAAAGTTGTGGGTCTTAATGCCTGCAGAGTCACTGACACAAGAGCGAAGGCATTCAGTGTAATGAACATCAAAGTCATCAACAACAACAATATTGGCTGATGGATAAAGAATGAGGGCTTGGTCAATATAATCAGAAATAACATCAAGAAGAGTGCAGTCTTGAGATGAAGGAGAGTGATATAGAACAAAGAGAAAGGTGAGTGAAGTGGTGCTAAACGAAAGCACATAAAAGAGTAGTCTGTGGATTCAAACTAGTTTCCCGACAAATGGGTGAATTCTTACGAATGTAAATGCGCAGGCCAAGCATGTGACTATTGGAGTCTTTACGAATTAAAGGAAGATAACCATCAACACTAAGATCACAAGATGAGACAGAAGAACTCAAATTAGTCTCACAAAGAGCAAGTAGGTCTGGTGAACTTTGCAAGAGATAAAACTCTACAGGAGAAAAGTTACTTCGAAGACCATGAATATTGGTAAATAGGTTTTAGCGAACTTGGTGATGACTGTGATTTTTTGTGTTTTATAGTTTTTGTTACTTTATTCATTTTTAAATTTGTTAAAGAACTTGACTCGAAACATAGATAGTACTCAGTACACTGTTTTATAGCCCAAGCAATTGCCTCATTTCCACTAATAAACCTGAAGCCTTAACAAAGGGCTCCAATGTGGCCTTGGCAATGCACAACAAAAGTACAAACAGAGACACTATCCATGCGCAACATGGCACTGTTAGTACTCTGATATTTTTAGCTGTTGATGGAATCAGCATCTCTAAGAGCTACCACAGAGTTCGGGAAACCTGACTACCAGCCGGCCTCAGAACCATAAAACTGAGTTTTAGAGCTGTACCCTCATTTGGAGATAATAGAATGAGTTGCCTAGTCATAAAAACAGAGACACAAGCAAAACCCATGCATTGAGTCAAGAAGATCCAGCGCTTAACATTCTAAACTGAAAACAATGTATTAAAAACACATCTGCGCCAGCCTAATAGATGAAGAAGGGGTGCGAGGCTGGTCAACAGATAGAATCTGTTTACCCCTTAACATACATGCAACATTAAACATACATGCAACAAATAAACAATGCAAAAATTATTTTATAGTTTTTAATAATGATGTTAGTTAAATTTTAATTATTAAATAATGAAAAGATGTTTTGCTAAATATACATGAATTTTTCTGCTATAAATCAAATACCAATGTTACATTACCTTACAAATAGTTTAATATTGGGACATTTTGAAACCTCAATTTCCAAACTGTTCCATACATGAGTTAGTATTATTTCTCCTAAGTGATATCAGCAAGCATGCCATAGAAGTGGCTAATTCAATATATTTTATACTGAAACATTGCCTTAAGTTTAATGCTGATTTGGAAAAAATCACGCCTGCCACACAATCTGTACAGTTCTTCATGTAGTTCATACATTACTTTAGCAATCAATGTTAGGTGGATTTATATGGCAGCGCTCGTAAACTCATTCTACGTTACACTGAAAAGAAAGCAAAATTGATAGAATCAAACAAAAAAATTTTAATTTGGTCAATATATATATATATATATATATATATATATATAGTATATATATATATATATATATATATATATATATATATATATATATATATATATATATATATATATATATATATATATATATATATATATATATATATATATATATATATATATATATATATATATATATATATATATATATATATATATATATATATATATATATATATATATATATATATATATAGTCATTTTTTGAGGGAATTTTTGAAAACGAAGTACATACCATGCCCTCCTTACAAGATTCAGGGTTACAAGAGATGTGAAGTAGATGATTGTGAATGCATTTTAGGCTTAATTAAAAGACCATGGCTTAAAGCGGGATTTCAAGTAATGTCAGATATATCAAGTATTATCAAGAACCTTATGAAGATGGACAAGAAGTATTCAGATTTGAGTAGAAATAAATGCAGAGGAACAGCTAGAGACAAGGTTAATCAAGGGGAGTTTATTTCATTTTTGAAAAAGCTGTTTTGGATTGGTTCTACAGATTTAAAAAACCAAATTAGGAAGGATAAAAAACGCTCAGATAAAGATAAGCACGATGATTTAACTTTTTTGGAAGACCAGGAAGGACCGAGACATTTTAGTTGGGGATCAGAAGATAAAAAATTTAGCAAAAAGGTTTTGTGTTGTTTTTATTGGGTTAATTTGACGTTTTTTATTAAAATTTGCTAATTTAACATACATTATTTGTTAATACACATACACTATGTTAAAACAAATTTTAGGTTTCTGAAGGTGTGAGGAAGAGGACAAGGCTAGAAGACGAATCTCTTAAGATTGATGCTACCTCAGAATTAGACTTGAGTTTCACTGACACTAGCGCTGATTCTGATTCAGAATTTGAACCCGAAGTTTGGCATCATAGAAGAGCAGATGATTGCAACATTACTGCCAAAGTCCCTAAGAATATTTTTGATGGAAATGTATCTATCATAGCTACAGCAAATGATATATCCTCCAATGTCTTACAAAAAGTAACTGGAGCAATTCTTCAAGATTGTGGAGTTGATATCGCGAAATGCAAAGCCAGTGCTTCAACAGCATTAAGGAAGATGAAAAAAACTGCCAAGGATACTGCAGAAATTGCTAAATTAGATATAAAGAAGGCCGTGGAAAAAAGCCGTTATCCCTGTATAATTCATTTTGACGGAAAGACTTTATTTGAAATGAATCAGGGAAAAAGACTGAGGAATGAAAAATTAGCTGTGCTCGTTAATATCGAGGGGGTGTCGCATCTTCTTGGAGTACCTGCCTTAATGTCTTCTTCAGGTGAAAATATGTATATAGGAATCATGAAAATACTAGAAGAATATGACCTCATTTCAAAAGTATGCGGAGTATGCTTTGATACAACTTTAAGTAATACTGGTTCTAAGAAAGGATCACTTATTAGGATTGCAAGAGAGGTTGACAAATACTTTTTTCTACTAGCATGTAGGCATCATATCATTGAGCTTAGAATGGTTCATTTCTGTGAAGCAGTGATAAAAGAGAATAGCGTAGGGCCTGAAAATCCTTTATTCGTAAAGTTTAAACATATGTTTGAGAACCCTAACTTCATATACGACGAAAATAACCTGACCTCTCTTGATTGGAAAATCGTGGAAGGAACAGTTTTGAAGGAAGCTGCAAGGAAAACTTTAGATTACTGTTAGACCTATATTACTAAATGCAATATGAGGAATGACCGAAGAGAGTTGGCTGAGCTAACCATGCAGTATTTATCCCCTTCTGCACATTTCAAATTAAAGAAAACTGGAGCTGTTCATCATGCTATGTTTTTAGGCAAGAGTTTATACTACCTTAAACTTCAGCTTTTGTGCAAGCAACTGACATTTGTGCAAGAAAATGATAATCTACGCGAAGATTTAAAACTCATCTGCGAGTTCATAGTATGTTTTTACAGAAGGTGGTACCTTCAAGCACATAAAGCAATTCAATCTCCTTCGTCTGATCTTGATGCAATCTTTCAGATGAAAGAGTATAAGAAAGTTTGCTCCAATCCAGAGGCAGTACACGCAGTGTTAGCATTTCTTTATAAGCATACATGGTATCTTGATTCAACGATTATTCCCTTGGCTCTTTTGGATAAAAACATTTCAATGTATAAAAAAAAACAGCCATTGCAGATGCTTTGTTTTCCTTCCAAATGCCAGATCCAGATTTTTTTAAACATAGAAGCAAAGATCGAATAGACGAGATTAATATCATAAATAATATGAAGGTACCAACCCTCTCTCTTTTGGTTAATGAGTTTTCATATTTAATTTTTTCAATGATAGGGTTGGATAATCAGAGAGTGAGAGACTGGTTGTCACTTCCAGCCAATATTGGCACACCCAGTCCTCGTTTAAGAATTTTGAAAACTTTGCCAAAATGTTATTTGTTGTCAATGATCATTCTGAACGTGCAATCGGAATAATGCAGCAGTTTGTACAAAGATTCGAAAATGAGGATGACAAGCAGAACAAACTTTTAACTGTCGACAAAGTAAGGTCAACTTTCAAGGTTTTTGGTGTGGGAAAAAGTAATAATACAAAAAAAAAAACTATCAGAAAGCCTGATGTCACTCTATTATAAATTAAAGAAAAGGAAATTGTAGACTTAGGAAATTGTTATTCATTTTAAAATACTTATTTCAATTAATGCATAATTTTTGCCTTGATAGTATTTGTAAAGATTTTTATTAAATGGTAAATTATTTGTTTAGTTCAAAATGGTTTGTTTTTTTGGTTGATTTAAACGGGAATTTTTACGTCTGTCCATCTGAATGAACTTTAAGTATGAAAATACATAATTTGCTGATTTCATAACCACTTGCGTAAATTAAACTTTTCATTTTTTGATTTCTTAAATAGGGTAAGGCGGGGCGAGTTCGTCTTGTTTTACCTTAACAAAATGAATTTGCATATAAATAAGTGAACTTTTCTAGTTTAAAAACTTTTTTTTATTAATTAGGGTCTCTATTTTGTTAATGTATTGAATCAAAATGAATTCTAAAGTTACTTTAGCGTATAATTTGATTTTTTCATCATCAAGTCATGAGGGGCGAATTCGTCAATTACGGGGCGAATTCGTCAGTACGGCTAAACTAATTTAAATATTCGTGACTCGGGCGATAGACGAAATTCCTTTCTAGTGGTAAAGGCAACTTACCTAGGAGAAAAAAACTTTGATGTAAAACATTTTTAAGGTCACAGTAGGATGATTTCCCTAATCTAGAAGTAAACCTAGAAGTTGCAAGTTCGATTCCCACCGCTTCCCTGGTAGTACTGCGCTCAACTTGTTTTTCTCTCAACTCTATAACTCCGAAACACGAACCTTGATCGTCAAGGTTCGTGTTTCGGAGTTATAGAGTTGAGAGAGGGTTGTAAACACATCAAAAAGGACATCTAAAAGGACATCAATTGTTAAACTTTTTCCAAGAAAATATCAAATAATGATTTTGGCATAAATGAAAACCGTATAACCGCGCTAGCGCAAAAAATAGCACGTTAAAGCAACAAAAAATCATATCACTACTATGACTATTTAAATAACAAAAATCATATCACTACTATGACTATTTAAAAATTTACAAGACGTTTATATTTTCATTGCACACAATTTGCACATGTATCAACTCCAAAACATCCTTCGCATGCCCACTGATTGCAATTTAAATATTTAAGCCAATCTTCACTTGCTTCTGCCCAAACAGCTGCACAAACACAACAAAAGTCTTTATCAGTGTTATTTTTTAGAATAAGACTTGAAGAACTTGGGTGATCAGAATCAGCTGAAAAAAAAGTCTTTTTTCATTTGGTTTTAACTGATTTATCGTGATTCTTTTTTGACTTCTGTTTAACACTGACCACATTTTTTATTGCAGCCTTTTAAGCAGGAGGCTCTTTTATTAACTTAACATTACCTGGTGATGTAATAAGAGCAATGTGGCGTTTTGAATGAGTAGGTTTCCTTTTTTTTTCAGGAGAAGGTATAATAGTCCTTAAAATAGATAAATTTTGGTCTCCCTGGTGAATTGTTGCTTTATTAAAAACCTCTGCTTTTTTATATTCGAAATCTTTTACTGGGTTTCTTAGGGGATGCAAACCACAATGGTAAAACGCATTAACAATCAATCCTCTTTTTGTAAGTATATTTGGCCATATTTTGTTAAAAATAATGTGAAAGTTGCAACGAGGCAAAGAAATATCATCATTTTCAGCTAAGTAATTAGACAAGGCTTCAGACCACATATGTTTAACTACTTTATTAACATGTGTGTCAAGTGGTTGAAGGCGATGCGTACTATGAGGTGGAATGCATATTATTTCAATATCCATCTTTATTGCTAATTCAATCGCTTCAATAGTCACATGACTTTTGTGGCCATCCAAAAATAACAATACTTTTTTCCCATTCACTTTTGTACAAAACTCATTAAAATGATGTAAATAAGCAATAAAAATCTCTTGATCAATATATCCACTTTGACTACAATGTACTTTTGTACCCAAAGGAAATTTAGATGCATCTGGAATCTTTGTTCCCTTGAATATGAAAAATGGTGGTAAGCTGTCTCCTGCTGCATTAACAGTGGCCAGGTATGTTGTTAGTGTGCCACGTTCACCAATAGTTAACTTTTGTACCTCATGAGAACCCTTTAATGCTATTACCTTAACAGAGACATTTGGCACAGATGAAAGGCCAGTTTCATAACAGTTAAAAATCAAATTTGGATAATTTTTTATGTCAAGCTGTTCATAAAAAGGTTGTAAATCGTTAAAAAATGTCTGAACGCGATTCTCATTAAATGCTTCTGCTCTTGCTCGAGAAAGCCCTTCACGAATTCTTAGCGTCAACTGAGTATGCCTTTTTCGGAATGAGAGAAACCAATCACGTAATGCCAAACATTTATTATGCCAACTTTTTGGAATGGACTTCTGTAATAAATGACGTCTACACAAGCTTTTGGCATAGAAATAAGCAGCAGATCTTAACCACATTATTGTGAGAGGAAACCCTCTATCAGCCATATAAAGCAGCCTTTGAACAAGAGTTTCTTCTTGATTTTTAAAGAAAATTGTTTTACCACCTATAGAATGTGTTTGATGTTTTCCCCGTAATTTATCAATCAACGTTGTACGTGGAATATTAAATTGTTTTGCTGCAGTTGATATAGTTTCTCCATCTATAATGGTTTGCAGAGCAGCCTGAAAAATTTCTGCATTATAATTTTTTTGTCGCTTTGGTTTATAATTACGTACCATCTATACATTTTAACATGAAAAATAATGTTATTAAAATCTACCATAAGTAATAATACATTCTTAGTTTTTTTTATATTGGTATATATATAAATAAATATATATATATACAATATGTATACATATATATATATATATATATATATATATATATATATATATATATATATATATATATATATATATATATATATATATATATATATATATACACACACAAAATATATATATATATATATATATATAAATGCTTTATATTTTCCAATGAATGATACATTTGTTTATAATAAATACTACAAAAAATAATTATAACAGATATTTTATACTGTACACACATTTTATACTATATACTTACTATTTACTTTTTACAATATATAATAGTTATACTAAATAGTATAATATTATATATATTTTTTAAAATAGAATAAGATCTTTGCTATATAATATATAATAAAAGTCTTATTTTAATGTAAAATTAGTAAATAATATTAACTATTCTAATAATACTTATTGAATTTCAATAATATTTTAACAATATTTAATACTTATACATATTTTAAATATGTATAAAAATAGGCAGTGGATAGCCTAAAAATATATAACATATATGTTTTATATACTTATTATTTACTGTATATATATTTCAGACTATACATTATAATAAGTTTTTTTACATGTTTCACATCAAAGTCGTGTTTATAATTAAAACTTCAAAAAGTTTTAAAAGCTAACTGTAAACTAATATATTCTGAAGAGCCTTTCTCTTATAAATGTCTAAAGCTTTGGAGCGCATTTTGATCACAATTTGTTTTTCTTTCAAACGGCGCTCGGTAGTTTAAAAATTTGCATGATGAAACAACCTAATTTATTTTTCGTATTAACTTTTCTTCATCGACGAAGTTGCCCCTCATTTGAGCATGTGCTAACAATCATTACGTGACGATTCCAAAGGCAAAAACATAGTAACTTAAATTATTATTTAAAAACTACTGACATCAATCAATCAAAAAATATATACTTTGTGGTCAAAACATTGCGTATTTTGATAATTTTTTGACGATAGGCATTTAAGCAGAAAAATATTTTTTCAACTTCAATGTTTATTTGCAATATTTAAAGAATAATCGGAGGTAAATATATAAAACATTTATTTAGTAATATTCTACAAATATCAGTTGAAAAAGTTTCGAAAAAACCTAGTTAATAGATTTCTTAGTTTTTATGCATTATTATTTTAAAGCTGAGTCGCATAAGTGACGGATTCGCTCCGTGACGAATTCACCCCGCCTTACCCTATCGTTTTAACCAAGAATATATAAAAAACATGATGGCATACCCTTTTAAAATGAAAATATAGATATCAAATAACAAAAAAAAAAAAAAAAAAAGGAAATAATTTTTTCATTTAAATCCCCCTCAAACACCCTACACACACCCTATTTTTCCTTTTTTGAAGTACAATTTCTTAACAACTTTAGTCTTGAGGGGGACTTAAAAGTCACCCAATTGACCTAAAAAAATTTTTGACAAAGTTTTAGCATATTTGCTCCAACTTTAGCAGGGTATGTACTTCGATTTCAAAAATTCCCTCAAAATGACTACCCCTAATACATATTATTGAGTCATCGAATTATTGAGTCATCGAATTTCATTTATATTATGATCAAAAAAAACTTTACCTGTTTCATTAAAGCGTTGTTAGATCATCTCCAGATATTTGATTGCTAATCTTTTTTCTTTGGGAACTCTTTCTTGTTCAGCAACTTTCCTATCATGTAACTTTTTTCTACATGGCTAAGTTTAAGATTAACTGAGCCCATGAATGATTTTCTTATCAACCATCATGCTGATCAGAAATCAGAAAAATTGACTAATTCATCTACCACACTTTGTGGCCAGAACCTCATTGTTTTTGTAAGTTTGTAATTTGAAGAAAACATGAAAGCACCTGACGAGATCCTTGTATTTTTTTATCAAACTCATTAAGAATGTTTCTAGTATAAATATCTTAAGTCTTTTGATTTAGCCATTTAAACTCAACGAATTTGTCAATATTTTAATTTTTATATACTATATAAGTTTGAAATAAGTTATTAGTGTGCTTGTAAAATGAATAGAAAATTGATCGCAATATAATATAAAGTGAAAAAAGCAGTTATTAACTTTATAATCTAATTAACATTTTAGTAGGTTCATATTGGTAATTAAAAGTTTCTCCTGATTATAGACAAACTTTAAAAAACTGTTTCAATCTTCAAACTTCAATTAAAATCTGTTACCCTAAACATTGTCCAATTTTCTTCAAATTTTAGAATCGTACTATTTACTATTAGTAAGAACCATCCTATCTTCCTCTAACCAAAAAAGACAATTTATATTAAACGCAACATAGTTTACATAACGCATTACTAAACTTTTTTCATTTCTTATAGTTCTATGGTTTCTAATGCTAGTTCTTTTAATTTCTTGATGTTGTTTTTTTAAACATCTTCACATCCTATAAGGCTGCAAACAACCACTATTAGAAATAGAAAATATTGGAGGAGAAATAATAAAGTTTCTAAAGCAAGATAACAATTAACAGAAGATTGCAAATTATATGAATCAGGAAAATAAGATAAAGGAACCAAATTCCAAAAAACTGATGTTCGAGGAAAAAAAACTACACAAATGAGAAGTTTTGGAGCACTTAGGAACAGCAAAAGGATGAGACTTAAATAAACGACGAGTAACACAAGAATGAATTTTAGTAGATGACACAAGAGCTAGCTTTTTCGAGCATGATAGAGTATTTATAGATGTAAAGTGACAATGTTTGAGGGTTGGCTGCAAAAGCAGCTCCAACTATGTTTTCAATGCGCTTTTGCACCTTTTCTAAAAGTGAAAAGGCATCGTCCAAAAATCTGTTCCAGAAATGGCAACAATATCCATTCAAGGACGGGTTTAAGATTTATAGAGATAAAGAATAGAATACGCAGTGAGTATTTGGCGAGCACGATAAAGAAATACTACCTTAGCAGATGTTAATTTTGCAATGGATTTGATATATGGTTTCCAAAAAAGATTAGAAGTAAAAGTTAATCCTCAAAGACGAAGGACAGTTGACTCATTGAGTACATTACCGTTTATATATATATAGAAAATTGTGAGAAAGATTTGTTTATAAAACTTAAATTTGATCCGAAATAAAGTTCATCAGCCACTGTGTTGTAGCAGAAGTGAGATCATTTTCAAGCTCAAATACCTCCTCCAAGCAATCAGAGAGTGTTGGCTTCTTATCAAGACAAAAATAAATGGTAGTATCATCCACAAATAATGCCACCTTAAATGTTAGAATTTCTAGGAGATTGTTAATGTAAATTTAAAAAAAGTAAAAGGCCGCGGCTAGCACTATGAGGATTCCCTGAAGTTACAGAAAATAAAGAAAAGTTCTGCCATCAAGGGCACCTTTTTCTTCAATAATCAATAATAAATGATTCAATAAACTTAAAGATGTTACCTGATACACCGTTAGAAGAGTGCTTATGGAGTAGACCAGCATGTAAAACTTTATTAAAGGCTTTAGAAATGTCGAAAGCAATAGTCTTAGTCTCTCTACATCTATCTAGTTACGGTAAAATCAACCAGTTATTGCCGTTAAAAAATCAGCACTAGAACGAGAAATTGAAACCAATATTGATGATAAGAAAGTTAGTTATGAGCAGACCCAACAATGCCTGGAGGAGGGGGGCCGGGGCCTAAAAGACTTTTTTTTTTTAGAGAAAACTCTGGATATAAAGGACATTTTTTAGAAATAGACAATTGTGCCCCTCCACTTTGAAACCCGTGTTGTCGGCCATGATTAGATTTAAAATAAGAGATTAAGTCTTATGATAAAAAGAAGACTAATGGGACGGTAGTTAGAAAAGTCAGATTGCTCATCAAAAATTTTGAAAATAGGTATAACAGATGTCGCATTCCAACCAATTGCAGCACTACAATAAGAGGAAAACCATGGAAAAGAGTGAGGCTTGACTTGGAATTGTTAAGAAAAAAAAATTTTCCATATCAGCCTGAATCCAAGAAGATAAATAAGAATCTCTTTTGTTTTCAGGAAGACGAAAAATTTCTACCCAAGGACCATCACAAAGAAAATCACTGAATAAGTACCAATCAGCTTTAGAGTAGTTTTATAAGGTACAATCAAAGGGAATTCTGATCATGAAGAAAAATTAATGATAATTTTAAAGAGATCAAACCGTGATCAAAAGCACTTAAGAGTAAATGTGGAGAAACTTAGCTGACTAGAATCAGAAATAAGGCATAAGTTGAGTAGACAAATGATTCGGATTGTAATAAGGCATAAGTTGAGTAGTAAATGATTTGGATTGTCCTGAAAGTGAGTCGGAAAGTTAACTATTTGTGTTAGAGTTTGAGAAAGGCAATAGTTGTAAGCCTTAACAATTGCAGAGTCATTGACACTAGAATTAAGCCATTTAGTACAAATAATAAAACATTTCAACAATAACGATATTGGCTGAATGTTAAAGATAAAAATTCCAAGGAAGATTTTTATCTTCCTTGGAGTTTTTACAAACTAAAGAAAGATAACCATCAACACTAAGATCACAAGGTGAGACTGCTGAACTCAAATTAGTTTCACCAGAAGCAAGTAGGAACTTTGATACAATCAAGGTCACTAATTGTGCGCAATATTGCACTGTTAATACTTTGATACTTTACAGCTGTTAATCAAATCAGCCTTTATGAGAGTTACCACAGAGTTCGGGAAATCAGCGGCTTCAGAACCATAAATTTGAGTTTTAGAGCTGTGATCTCATTAGGAGATAATAAAATTTGTCTAATAAAAAAAACATAGTGATCTCATTGGAAATAATAGAATTTGTTTATTAAAAAAATAGAAGTTGTTTAGTAAAAAAAAAAAGAAACAAAAGCAAAACCTATGCAAAGAGTCAAGAAGATTCAGCATTCAACATCCTAAACTTGAATTATTAATATATCTACGCTAGCCGTATAGATAATGATTATTAATGAAATTGAAATAAAAGAGATTCCATTACTAATTTTTTGGTGTTTATCTTGGTAAAAAAGGTTACTTGGAATAAACTCATTAATTATGTAAGGAATAAAGTCTCGACAATTTTTCCATTTTTTTTTGGAAGAATTTATGTTTTATTTTTAGATCTTGTATTTAAAGATAATGAACATGTAATTGGATTTAAAAAGCGTAGGAATAAACAAACTCTAAAGGTTCACCTTCACGTCCCAACGCCAGGGCAATGAGTTACAAAAATATTTTAATTTACGATCTATTTCTAATTTCAAACTCATCATCATGTTCATTATTTTTATCACCATCATTAAATTTCATTTATTTCTCTTTTTGTGTTTGAAAGCTTTTGAACATGTGAAGTTTTCACCTATTAAAATGAGGGGGTTTTAAATTTAAATAGTCAATACGTTTGAACGCTTTAAGATAAATAAATGAAATTGAAAACGGTGGATAAATTGTAGTACAGGGTTTTGAAGTCAGGAGCACAATTATTAATTTGTAAAAAAAAGTCCTCTACATCTTAATATTAAATTTCTTTAAAAAATCTTTTCTTAAAAAAAAAAAAAAAAAGTCCTCCAAAAAAAAGTGGGGGTTCATACTTTGTTATGTAGCTTTGATAATGTCCAAAGTTGTCAAATTTAAAATATCCGAAATCCTGGATCAGCCTCAGATGCAGAAACGTAATTTAAAAAAAAATTGGTGGTCTCAGCATTTAATGACGCACATTTAGCATCAATAAATTCTGGGACCACCCCTTGTAAACAGTTGTAAATCAAGCTCCCCTAAAGTTATTATTCTTCAACATTTTTTCATATTTTGGTCCTATTTTCACAATAACATTTGAATTTTTTTTCAAAAAATGTAAACTAATACTAGTCTTATACTACTATAAAACTTTCTTTTATATTTCTTTTCCTTTCCAAATATGTATACATGTCCTTTCCATATATGTATACATGTCCTTTCCATATATGTATACATGTCCTTTCCATATATGTATACATGTCCTTTCCATATATGTATACATGTCCTTTCCATATATGTATACATGTCCTTTCCATATATGTATACATGTCCTTTCCATATATGTATACATGTCCTTTCCATATATGTATACATGTCCTTTCCATATATGTATACATGTCCTTTCCATATATGTATACATGTCCTTTCCATATATGTATACATGTCCTTTCCATATATGTATACATGTCCTTTCCATATATGTATACATGTCCTTTCCATATATGTATACATGTCTGGGAAAATATTTCTCTTGAATTACACTTTTTATCAAAAAATATAAAAAGGCGAAAAAAAAAATTCAGTTTAGGCCACCCTACATCCCACTGCGCTGTGGTACTATCCACTGATTTTTTATAGTATAACACTTAATTCGTCTTTAACGAATTAAGTGTTATACTATAAAATTTAATTCAATTTTATATACTGATTCTTGTTTACTTGATGTTAGCAGGCTTCATCAAGTAAACAAGAATCATCAATCAGGTGATGCTATCACCTGATTGATGATTCTTACACATCGTTACGTTATAACTACATGACATAATAAAATCCAATGTATAAATATAAGATATTAATACCACGTATAACATAGCATAATAAAAATTGGTTTAACAAGTATAACTAAGTATAGCGTAAATTGATAGTGTTTCTTATCACAAAAACTACCAATATTTTAAAAAAATAAAAGAATAAAAATAAGAAAAGAAAAAAAAGATAAGAAATTTTTTTGGTACTTCAGATATATACATGTTGTTGTAAAGGAAAACTCGTAAAAGTCTATGAAGACTTATCATCGAGTACCTCTTTAAATGGTTAAATAAAGTCTATTTTATTTTTATATATAGTCAAAAGTGGTCAAGCAATATACAGTCAGTGATACACATAAATATTTTAGTATAAATTTTAATGTTAAGTTTATCACATGTCGATATAATTGTTCGTATTAAGTATGAGATGTTTTAATTTATTTTTAAATTTACAGCATTATTTAATACTTTAAGTTCTATATTTTTGGATATGATTTTGTTATATAGGTACGGACCCCGGTAGGTAATTAATAGAAAACCGTGAGAACTTTGTTGTTCTTTTGGGCAGTGTGAAGTTGCCTGTTGCTATTGTCATATATCTATTAGAGTTTACTTGAAAGAAGTTATCTAAAAAATGCGATGGGACTAGTCCAAGTTTGTATTTAAGCATAAATAGAACATTTTGGTAGATGTTGATTTGGTAAACATTTAGTGCATTCAAGGTTTTTAGTAAGGGTTCAGCGTGGGTGAGTTTATCTTTACCATAAACTAATCTTGATGCATGTTTTTTACTCATGTAAATAGTACTCAATTTGGATTTGTGTGTACTTGCCCAAGTAATATTAGCGTACGTAAGATAACTTTGAATGTAAGAAAAATAAAGCGATTTAAGATTATGTTGGGATAACATAGGTTTATCCCAATATTTTTTGAAATTTTGGTGTTTATTGTACTTATATGGGCTCTCCAAGATATATTTTCGTCAATTAGTATCCCAAAAAATTTAGTTGTTTCTGTTTTTTGTGTATTTAGTGATAACTTATTTAATTTTAACCATAAATTTAATCTTTTAAGCACTTTTTTCATACATTCATAAAGATCTTTAATTGAGTCCGATAAATAAAATAAGTTTGTGTCATTGGCAAAACATAATTACATCAAGTTTTTCCGAGGCTTTTGTAAGGTCGTTAATATATAGAAGAAACAGAAGAGGTCCAAAAATGGAACCTTGGGGGACACCGCACTCAATTCTTAGTAGTTTGAATGTTTATAATTATCTGAAAAAACACACTGCTGTCTGTTACTTAGACAGTTTTTGAACCAGTCAAGGGTTATGTTTTTTATCCCATAGCTTTCCATTTTTTTAAGTAAGATATTATGATTTACAGTATCAAACGCTTTTGACAGGTCTATAAAGATGCCTAGAACATACTGTTTTTTTATCAAAAGAATCACTTATGTTGTTAACCAGATCTAGGATTGCGTGTTCATTTGAATATTGTTTTTGAAAACCAAATTGCTTTTTATTTAGGATTCTATTTTGGATTAAATACTCATACAATCTGTTATAGATTATAATTAGAGAAGCTTAGAAAAGGTAGGGAGTACCAGGATAAGTCCATAGTTATTAATTAAGTATGATTCACCTGTTTTAAATATTAGTACAACTTTAGCTACTTTTAACCTGTCCGGTACAACTCCTGTTTTAATCAAAGACTTAAAACTTTCAAATATAGGTTTATTTATCGTTGTAAAGACATTTGCCACTACCCTACTACAGACATCATCTATATTTGGAGTTTTATTTAATTTTAAAGAATTTAGAGCAACATTAAGTTCATGGTAGTTTAGTTCTTCGTATTTTAGCTCACTCTGGGTATCACTTAGTATATTATGGTGTAATTTAAATGAGTTATCAGGAGACTTAATTTTTAAGGCAAGATTAGGGCCAATGTTAACAAAATAACTTAAAAATCACTTCTCAAATAAAAGAATATTCAATATAAGTTCAATTAAAAGATTATTAAAAGTTTTTATGATGAAAAAAATTATTATCAAAACTAATAGATTATTAAAAGTATTTATAATGAAAAAAAAATATTGACCCGTCGCTCAAGCCGAGTATACGCTTTATTAAAGTAAAAAAAAAGTACATTATGGTGTAATTAGCATCTTAAGCGAGAATTGTAGTATTTTCAAAAATAGGGATTCTAGATTCAAATTTTTTGTGATTTAACAATTTTTAAGGATCACTACTTATAATCAATTATGAGTAGTAATCCCTTAAAATTTATCATTCGCAAAATTTTTTGATCTAGCATAGTTATTTTTAAAAATATTCCAATATTCGCTTAAGGAGCTCATTATAAGTATATTATAATTATAAGTCTTTGTAAACCATCTAAGTAGATTAATCTATTTAAATTTTTTGGCACCCAAAGTTTTTAAAAAACAAAATTAAATAGTTCTAGAATTTAAAAATATTTATGTTAATACAAAAAATAACACAGCAAAACATGTTCATACCATGCAACTCTTAAACAGTCTTGAAAAAGCCCGGCAAAAAATTTGGACGACAAAACGTTTCCGTAAAGTCCTGACTTAAGCATACCGCATTATATATAAATTATTAGAATTTATCTTTTATAAGACTCTATCATTATTGTGTCATATTAATAAAATTTATCCTTCATGAGATTCAAGCGAATTTCAATAAATTTAGAGTAACAGTATTCATATAATATAAAATATATACAATACATACTACTATTTTTTTTTACAATTTCTACGATGCTTACAAAAAGTACAATTTTTTTTTCTAAAGTAAACAATAAGAAGTAGCCGTTCTATTATTCTATTATATATAGTTATTCAATTATTAATCTTTATTTAGAATTTGTTCATCGTGGGATTCAGGAAAATCTTAGAAATATATTAATTAATATTTGATCAAGTCATTTACTGATATTTTAAAAATTAAAACATGTGTCACCATATATACAGAAACTAGTATATACATATATACATTTAAAAACTTGGTCTTTGTAAGCATATGTACATGTTTGTGGGCTGTTTGTGAAAGTGTTAGACGTGTATGATTGTTAAAACTTGTTTGCGTGCGTTTGTGGAAGAATAATAATAAAAATATTGTATGTTAATTATAAAAAAAATATAAAAGAATTTTAAAATAGGAAAAAAGAAAAAAAAAATGAATGAACCAGACAACAGTTTTACACTTACAAAGTTAATTGAAAAATTGAATGAGTTATTTGACCATGAAAAGGTCAATGTTTATGAAGTTCAGGACGCAATGGAAACCTATCAATCAAATTTACCAGAGTGGAAAAAGTATGCTCATTTTGATGACTACAGGTAAAGTGTAATAAAATATTTTAGTAAATTTAAAAAGTAAAAAGTAAAAAACCTTCAAAAAAAACTTGCCTTAACCATTAATGTTTTTGAAAAAACCTTTTATAGACTTTGCTATTTTTTTTAAGTTTTACGAGAGGCTTAGGGTTCAATGCAAGAACCAAACTCGACTTGAACTTTAAAAATTTATTTTTTCACGTAAGACTTTTAAAAAAAGTTTTGAGCTATTTGATAAACATGACTTATAAATTTTAAGATTGCGTTTGAGTAAGTCAGACCTGAAAAGCTAAAGCTGAGTTTTCTTTTGTTTTTTATCTATTTAATAAAACGAGATTAGGATTGGAAAAATAATCACGTGAGCATCCGTAGTTTAAATTAGATCCGTACTCACGTGACTATCTATTAAAAAAAAAATACTTTGCAACCAATAGTATTTTAAAGCTGATTAAACTTATATTTAGAAATAGTACAACTAAATTTATACTTTTGAGTAATAAATTACAAAAATATATTTGACTAAAATCTGTATTGATTGTCAGAGATTAAGTTGCTATACTTAAGATAAGATTTTAAAAGTTTATTAATTAAAAACTCGAAGGCTAAAAATAAAAATATGCTTGTAATAAGAAGACGAAATGGGCGATAGTTAGAGGGTCTGTACAATCTTCAGAGTTTTTGTACGATCTTCAGAGATAAGGAAAATTGGAACCACAGATTTTGTGGAAAACCAGGAAAACCACGAAAACCAGATTCAGTCTAAAATTTGTTAAATAGTTTAGATAATAATTTTTTATGTTATAAAAAATTTTAACAAGAATTGTTTGCAAGAATTCCATCTCATATAAAATAGAAAGGTAGACGAGCTTAAAAGTCATACAATAGCTAAGTTAAAAAAGATGATTAAATCGTGAACACTTCTAGGTCTTAAAACAGAAATAGATAAATTTTTTCATTGAAGCATCTGACAGTTTAAAAAAAATATATTCATTTCTATTTAAATACTATTCTGTTTTTCTCCTCTAAAAATATAGAAATATGCGTTCTATCTATTACTCCAATACTCCAATACATTCAAGAAGTCCGTAATGTTCCTAAAACGTAAATAGTAAAAAATATTGTTAATAATAAAGGAAACATCAAGCTATCAATTATTTTTGTTTTCATTTTATAGAAGCAGCAAAAAGATTTTCCAATGTTAAATATTTAACATATTGAATACATTCATTTAAATGAATATGTTATATAAATGAATATATTAAATAAACTTATAGGCTGTTTTGCTCAATTATCAAATAATTGTTTTACGTGGGATATATATATATATATATATATATATATATATATATATATATATATATATATATATATATATATATATATATATATATATATATATATATATATATATATATATATATATATATAAAGTTGCAAAATGGAGATTAAATATAAAAATTCTTTACCCAGCAAATATTCTATAGTGGAATTTTAATGGAAATTTTGAGCGAACCACTGTTGTTTTGCTTATCGATTACTTAGTAGTCCATTAGTGTCGGCCGCCAAAATTGGCTAGCCGATGTCTAACCACTATTAACATGTCGGAGAGTTATCAGTTTGCCATTTATTGCGGCTGCCAACAATGGTCCACTAGATTAACCGATGATCAAAACTCCAATGAACCGCTAAAAAATGCGTTTATAGGTTCACTGCAAAACCACTAAAGCAATGCTTTCTGGGTAGTAATAGAGGTACTCTAATCAGTAAAAACAAAAGTAGGCAAATTTTTTTTAGAATGTGTTACAATTGTAGTCATTTAGAGTTTTTTAACTTGGTTTGTTGCGAGTAGGTAAGCAAGTATAGCCTGTCAATTCCTAAATAACTAAAATACCACATTAGTAATATTTCCGAACCAATATATAAAATATACTTTAATTATCTTTAAATGTTTTTAAATGGTAGTTTTATCTACCTTTACAAACACTGTAAAAAGGTTTGTTTGGCTCTTTTAATGGTCTAGTATTTGGCCTCTAGACATGTGTGGTTTTCAATTAAAATTTTTAATTATTTAATTTCAGGTCAGCTTATTCACTATGAATGCATTAAATTTTCAAATTTATATAGTATTTTTTGTACTTTCGACAAAAAAAAGACTTTATAACGCCTTATATAAGCAAGTATATTTTATAGACATTACATCTTAAAAAAATTTAGAATCTTGAACTAGATTTTTATCTTACGGAAGAAAAGAACTATAGCGTTACATACAGTATAACTATTACACAATTAAAGAACAATTCAAAAACTCTGGTAAATAATAGCCTTTAGACATTAGGCTGTGGATTTTAACGTTAATAGTGTTATAGGTAAGGTGGTACAAGTTACCTTGAATCAAACTCAATAATAAACCAATAGAGGCTTGATAAACTTACAGACTTTTAAACACCAAACAAATGTCAAACATAACCTACCCAATAATCATTTTAAACTAAACAAGACTATCCAATAATTATTTTTAACAAAAGTTACCAAAAGAAAGGTAATCAAGAACAATTTGTCAAAAGCCCAATTTCTGTTATTTTATAAAAATAAATTGTCGAGTCTTGTTCTCAAACAGGTAACACAAAACTAACGGAAATAGTTTTTAAATTTGTAATTTAAAAAAATACTATATTTGTACATTATTTTTTAAGCAAAACCAATTATGCAAAATAGGAGCTTTATGAAAGTCACAACACTTAAAGGAAATTACTACGGCTTCATTTGATGCTGAAGAAAAGGTCTGTTGATTTTTTTTGTCTGTTGATTGTTATTTATTTTTCATACATAAAACAACTTGTATTTATGAATGACAAAACTATTGGAGAAGTTACCGGAAGTTACTATTGCTTCATTTGATGCTAATAGAAAAGATCTATTAAAATTAATTATTATTATGACAAAACTAACTTGTATTTGATCATGACAAAATCATTAGAGAACTTAACGGAAGTTACTGCTGTTTTATTTGATGGTAAAGAAAAGATCTATTAAAATTAGTTAATACTGTACAAAAAACAATTTGTATAATTCATTATCGCTTCAAATAGTACTCAATACACAATACATATTAAATGAAAATAAATTCTCACGTATTACAAAGTTGCTTGTTCTCTTTAAGAGTTAAAATAAATCCTTACAAACAATCCGAAAACTAAAGTTTCTGCGAAATAAGATTAGTTACTAAAAATAAGACCTCACTTGTGGTTTGATGTTTTGAACCAACAACAGAAAAACAGAAATGATAAAATGGTTTCCTCTCAGCAATATAAAACAAAGAAAAATTTGTTAAAGCTTAAGGCTAAATAAATAAATTGAGCTTATATAACCCGTGGTATATAGACTCATTTTAAAAAACAAACGAAACATTATTGTTTTATTTTGTTATTCATGTGATAAAAAAAAAATCGATTTTTAATATTTGATTTATTTTTTATTTTCTATTTCTATTTTTATTATTTAAGATAAATATTTATATTTTTTTTAATAAGATATATTTATATTTTAATTATTTAAGATTCAAGATCTTTATAATTTTTTTCAATATTTATGATAATAATTGAACTTATTGCAATTTTATTACAACATGTTGCTATCTGAATATCGCTGCTTTGTAACTATCAATATTATGATATACCAATAGCTACATATCATAGCTTCATAGCATGTTAAAGCATAACTATAAATCTATAGGTAGTCGATACCGCTAGTATAAGAACTGTGATGTGGATACACTCTACAACTTTTTAGTTAGCGATTATATATATATATTAATTAGCGATATATATATATATATATATATATATATATATATATATATATATATATATATATATATATATTATGACAACAAATCGCTAACTAAAAAGTTGTAGAGTGTATCCACATCACAGTTCTTTAACTAGCGGTATATATATATATATATATATATATATATATATATATATATATATATATATATATATATATATATATATATATATGTATATATATATATATATATATATTAATATTTCATACTATTGCAGCTGTATAGTTAGCTTCTTACGACAAATCTGTATCTATTCAATAACTACTTTTCTTTTTTAAGTTTTAATTATAAAAAAGAATTTATATGAAACTGTTTAATCCTTAAACATCAAAGTATTAAAAATAGTTTATATATTTCGATTACTTAAATCTTACTTTTATTTTGTTTGTTATTGTAAAATTATTATTATGGTAAATTTGTAAAACCTTAAAAAATGATTTCAATATTTTATAGATTAAATGTTATATAAAGTACTTTATTTTAAAATTTGTTTTTGTTTAGCATTTCATAGCGGTACTGTCCCACTTTTATACAAAAAAATTGATAAAAGGCAGTATATAAGTTATACTAGATGTCAATTTTCAAATGTTATGGTAACTAAAATAGTGGTTTACCATGCAATCCATTAGATGTTCACTGGGTGCAATCCATTAGATTTTCACAGGTTGCACTTCATTGGATCTTCATTGTGTGCAAGTTGCCACTTTGTTAATAAGGCTAAAATACTTAATCCGAAAATACATGGAAAATCCATAGTTTTTACAAGTATGCAAAAATTAGCAATTGTACAACATGTTATTTCAATTGTGTTTAGTGCCTGCGGTCAAATGGTCTCTCGTTATATTATAAAGTTGACCATATAAACAACGAGAACCAAAAGTGGACCACACCAATGTACAATACAATAGAAGTGAGGACATTTTGATTCTATTTGCTTTTTTGACTAGTTTGTTATTTTTATTTTTTTGTCAAATTGCAGTAACTAAAGTTCTTATTATTTATAATCTAAGCAATCTTTCTTTTGAATAGGAATTTGAATAAACTAAAGAAAACCTTTTGTGAGCCGAAAAAATTCTTTCTTTACCGATGTGCTGGTTAACGTACAGTAAAGAAAGAATTTTTGCAGTGAAACAACTAACTGATAAATACTTCTTAA